GACGGATTGTCGGAAATACAGGAAGCAAATCCTAAAAACTATAAAGTTGCACAATTTTTGCGTCTAGTACACTTCGTCTGCTCCCAAAATGACACGCACTTGCAGTTGAGACTGAACTTCTCAATGCGAATCAATAAGCCGCCATGCAGTCTTATTTCTGTAAGATGACGGAAGGCTCTCACTCACTACTAAGATCCCTCACTTAGAATGTCCATGCTGTTCCATTTGGTTCTCCTACACTTTCGAAATCCGTTGACAGTCAATTACTACATTTTTGGTGATATTAGTCTTCAAGTAGTGCTAAATGACTGGGAGGACTCATCTGTAAAAGACTGTGGATGATAGTAAACAGTTCTCTTAAATTTTGGTAACTGCAGTTGGGCTTCGGGTAGTTCTTTGAGGAACAGAAGACATTGCTCTGTAAGAATACTTAATATGCCAATCAAAAGGTACGTTAGTAGAGGATGTGTCCTCGAGGATCTCTAGGGCGTCGAGTTGGCTAAAAGTTCCAAGTAGTGGCAAATACAGACTCTAATAACTACGCTGATTAGAAGGCTCATGACTTCACTGCCGCTTCCGACTAATTTGACTAGACAACTTGCCAGCAACCTCATTTTCATATCGAAAATCCGTGCCGTGTCTTGAGGGCGTGCAAACTGCGTCACCCTTCTCGGTTCAACCGTCTCAGTCGTTTAGTTTACTGAAATAAAGGTAAGTAGCACATGTGAAATCATTTAGTTTAAACTTAAAAACAAGTTTATTTTCGATCTGCTCTCTGTGGGTGGAATTCTTAAAGAATTGTGTTTCTTTACCTGGGAAGGTCTATCATGCCATTTATGCCAGAGTTTTACTCAAAATAAAACAAATTCTAGCCGCCCTTTGGACCTAAATTATCAGGACAGAATACTTAACTTACCCTCTCTCATGGTGCCCCACAATCAGTCACTCACCACATCTACCAACTTACGAGAGTCTTATCGCAGTTTTCATTCTCAAACTCAAAGTGCCTATGTTGACACACCAAGTCGCCACATTCGTAGGTTTAAGTGGAGACAATGGGGGTACACACATTCCCTCACCCGCTGATGTGTCCACGGTTGTGCGTGAAAGTGGAACTACCCTTTAGAAGTGGCAAATGATTTTACCACTGCATTCATAAGGTGCGCTCTTGTTCCAAAAGGTTTTTCATCTGTGCGAGTTCGCAGTGTTTAGCCCACAAAAGTGTTCCTCATTTAACACGTTAGACGGTTCAGTCATGTCAAAAAACTTCCATGGAAGTACGGAGGCTTTGAAACCATAAAATAGTCTATCCGATTCTCTTGTTTCCTTAAGCGTCGATGCTATTTTGTCAAGGTACTGTGAAACTTATGTTCGACTTGATAGATTTGGCGCACTTTAAAAGAAGGTCTGTTACTAGGGCGGAAGAAGAGGTGGATGGAGTAAACAAAGCACAATTCAAACATTGCAACTTCGTTCGAGTGGTTACCGGAATGATTAAAGGCAAACAGACGACGTAAATTGCGCATTTATGCTGTGTAGCGTTCCCGCCTACCTCGTGGGCCTTTCTAAAGAAGCAAATATATCGCAAGTAAAGCGAGTTTTGTTGCCATCATTTATGCGAACCTCTTGGCGTTATCAATTGCTTCTTGAAAGGCTGCTCAACAGGAACTTAGTGTATCTTCAAAAATTTTTTGCGTTGCAAACATCTTTTCTGCTTAAACTTCCACCCACTGAGTCATAGCGGCGAAGTGACAGCTTCAGAGGTGTTTAGTGGGTTACTGTCGAGGCGAAAATGACTTTGTTTTCAGAATTACTGACCCAGCACATTGCTTGGAGCGACTACACAATTTTATGCCCTCTGTGGAATGCAGGAATTCACTGAATTTTTTTCTTTTCAAGGCCAGGCGATACCCCAATCTGATGCACTCGTTGGATTTAAGCTACCACAAACCTGTGCTTATTGAAACACCAGATTTAGTCGGACAGCTGAAAGCTACCGCCGATTTATCACTTAAAGATATTAATTCAATGCAGCGCATCCAGGAAGCCCATGGGTGCTCCAGTTTGTGGGCGACTTCTTCTTTTATGTGAGGCCAAAAATAATGGCCCTTTAGTTGAGGACGCGTACACATACACAAGCGCATGCTAATGAGATTGAGGCTTGGATCGCACTATTGTCCTGAGACACCTCAACCGCTAGCCCTATATCAAGCCTTCAAGCCCATCCTAAAGAGCAGTGCCCCACTGTCCTACTAATGAGATGAAATGAGAGTCTCTTCACACTAGAATGACGGGTAGACAGCATTGCTAAAGCAGGCAAAAAGTGCCAAGGAGGAATGGACACAGAGCACGTACTTCAGACCAGAAGCTTTTCCACAAGAAATGATTGCCATTACATTGTCGATTTTACCGCCATCAAAAAGTCCTGTGCTCCAAGGAGGCATCAAATCTCTTCTTTTTTTTGGCACAAAGACGTCATTAAAAAACGTGTCTATGGATCCAATCAGCAAATCGTGGTACATAGGTGAAGACGCAGGGTCCACGAAGAGTAGTGCCGAAGCTAGTCACACCGTAAAGATACCACTGATTGTCATCCTGGTGAAGCCGACAGTAGAGACCACCGCCGCTGTCACCCACCCATGCTTTCTGAAGGTAAAAGATGTCATAGTTTTCACGATCAAGTTGTCCACTGCTTCACAGCAGCAAATAGGTGCGTACAAACTCCACCTCCACCAAGAACAACAACAACAACATCAAACGGCCTATCATTTGCTACTGAGTCGAGGAGGCATAGAGCAAGCCAAGAAGTAAAGGCTCACTTCCAATCATACATAAACGGAACTCCTCTTTCCTTCGTACCTTTTTGTCACCACCTGCGCAGGCGTGGAAACCCTCTTTGAAATAGTCGGAGTGGTTTTGGCATACGGTTGTTGAAACTATAGGAATGGTGGTCTCCATAAGAACACCCGGGTCGGGCGTCTTTTCGGTGTGACCCCAACCGACCGCTACGCACTTCGTCCCTACGGCCAACTGGATGTTGGGTGGTGGTATGCAGACAGGTTGAATACCCACCGCTGGTGTGAAGGGCACGCCAGGTAAATCAGGATAATGTCATCATTGGGTTTTGCGACAATAACTAGGAGCCACGGAACTTACACAACGCTACTGGCTTCTTCAGCTTGAGAATCGCAATGTCATAGGTGAGGAAGCCCCAATCACTTGCATAGGTTAGTACCTCGTCTACAAGCATATCTTTCTGCCACCCCTCATCTGCTCCTCCAAGATAGTGATCACCCAGACGAACAAGGACTTGAGTCTGGAGATAAGACACTGGAGAGAACCAGTGGTTAGCTGGCGTTGATAAGACCGTCGTGGAGTTAAACTTCATAATGCAGTGCGCTGCAGTGATGAGATGTCGCGAGGAGATGAGTGAAGCACCGCAGTGAGGGGTGGTGTCCAGGTCGTTGTACATCCCATCTTTTCCTTCGTGTCCCCCTGATAGCAAGTAGACGCCGGCCTGTGATGATGGAGTTAATCCTTACTGCTTAATCCATTTATTTTCGATCCGCAAAGTCTGATTACTAAAGCCACGAAGACTTGTTTTCGAGGCTTTTCATTAGCCGAATGGAGCTAGGTTTTAAACTTATAAGCATAATGAGGGAATGCAAAACTTGCCATCCAAGGCCAGGAATGTGAAACTGAACTTCGACCGCCGATAATCTTGGGCATCACCTTACTTTTCCACATCGGTGACCGTCCGCAGGTATGCCTTTGAGCATAGAGAAGTGGTGAGGGATCTGAAGAAGTCGGCCAAAAGTACCATAAACCCATTCATAAGGAAATTCATCCATTTGTTAGTAAGAAAAGCCTGCTTCATTTAGAATGCATCACCAGAACGAAATGCAGCTTTGGAAGATTACATCTTTAAGAGGTAAAAAAGGCACTCATAAATTTTTAAAGATCGCTAAGGAACGAACAACATCGATTTAGGCACGACAAAGCCCTTTAAGACTCTCCTAGACCTCAGTCAAACGGACAACTTTTATGCTCAACGTCCACACTTACAAAGCACATGATGTGCACCACTTTTCGAGGCAGAATAGGGCGGATAATAGCAGTAGGGCTGACTCCGATTTTCATGCTTGGGGTCTCTATTCAGGCAGTAGTTGGTTCCATTGCAGTAGCACTCGGAGGTGTGGTTAAAATTCTGACGCCTATCAGCCAGCACAAAGACAAAAGCGGAAATCAGATTCAATCCAAGGTGGAGTTTGTAAGGAGCCATTGGTTGAACCAGTCTGAAGACGATTGCAGGACTACATGCGCGCTTATATTCAAGAAGGATCAATCAATATTTTGAAAGCGATGACAAATTACCTACTCAAATGTTATAAGTAAAAATATTGCGGACAGCTCGGAACAATGACTTGGAGTAAAATATTCTGAAATGGCTTCCCCATTTCAAGTCCGGTCAATCTGTTGAAAACACCGGTTAACGCACGAACCGCAAGTTAAAGATCATGTGAAGGAAGGGAATAGAGAAGCAGATTCGTGCAAAAGTACAGTTACAATTTCCTACAAAATATATTTGTTGAATGATTTATGTTTCAAAATGAAAATGTGGACCGAAATAATGCAAAGCTCCAGAACTCATTAGAAGTATTACCAATGACTTTGAATCGACTTCTCCTTCCAAACCCATCAGTTTCCAAAAAGCTGAATCAATGCCAATTGACTGGATGTTTATTTTAATGAAAGACATAACATCGAGTCATCAAACTGCCGTCAAGATAAAAGGCAGGTCGGTTGGCAGACAGAATAGGAGGCGATAAAATATTCAATCTTGGCGTCGAGGTGGAGGGTAGAGAGGAGAACAGGCGCGAGGAGGGCAGGGAAAGACGCAGACGGTGCCGTGGACGCTCCACCGTGCATCGCCACTACTGCCATGGATGACATCTCTGTCCCTAATGAAGGTGAAGCCAGTGGAGGGTCGCTGTACATAGGCTGCCTGGACGGAAATAGGCCTGCTTGAGTGATTACAGTACACAATCCACCCTCGAGTCATCGATATCGAAACATTGTGCTAGGGTAGCTTTAGTTTATAACATTTGACTTAATCATATCATACCATATTCATATCAAACTAACAACATTTTAAGTCATAGGAGCATCAAAGCGAAAGCATCTATTTTCGGTGTTTAATAACGCGCGATACCAAAAAATGCTCAATCATCAATACGGTGAAAGACATTTACTGGACGTGAAGCTTGAAGCGGTTGTGAGGAATTGAGTTAGAGCACAATAAGCCAGCGTGATTTAGAGGGAAATTTATCGTTCGGTATCAAAAGCAAAAAGAATAACACAGCCAATATCACTCACTTAGAAACGTGCGTACTGCAAAGAAAGAAGGTGAATGATGAGCCGAAGGATGAAAGAAACAAGAAATTGAGAACGCCTTAGGTTTGAAACTTAGTTGATAAGATCTTTGACTCATTCTAACAAATGGTACTAAATGATATAAGTAGTAAATAATTCATAACTTACATAGAAATCTGGGTTCCCAAGCTTCGTGTAAACTGTAGGTTTGGGAGAGGAGGGTGAGGAGGGTGTTTTTCTTGTCCACAGAGGTGAAGACTCACCCGCTGATGAGTCATTCACCGGGGGAGACCACTCGATCTCGGAGACAAACTTGGAAGTCATCACACCTTTGTTGATAGCTTTCGCCTTCAGTGGCTGAGGTGACGGCTTAGCGTGGTTCCAAGGTGGGGTGGAGCTAGCCCCTAGTAGCACCAAATAATTCATCCTTATCCATGTGAAAAAGGCACAACGCCTTGACAACTGCGATTTCTAACGTTTTGACGGGAAAATTGATAGTTAGTGACCCTAACCTTCAGTTTTCTTTACAGTATCTGCCTCTTTGACTGCTTTATAGTCTCGCGGCGGCAGGTCCGCACTGGTGGTTTTTTGACTTTTTCGACGCTCAACACCACCTTTCCTCCGATCATGATGCTGGATTGTGGTTGTGGCATAACAAGTTCCTGAGGGGATAAACCACACGTTCTCCCCTTCGTCTTCTCCCTTTTCCTCGCCACCGCCTGCTGGCTTCTCATTGTTAAGCCTACTTTGTGATTGCGGAGTAGAGTAGGTTGATAGTTTTGGGCGACTTTTGACGATCTAAATTTGTCAAAAAGGGTTGGTCCTTAAGAAAGCACACTCCTTCAATACACCTGAAAGGAGAAAGTTGAGGTAACATACACGAGAATTACGTTTGGGAAGGCTATGATGCTGCTGATTGCTGGTAGAGGGGGGGTTTTCAACGGAGGTGCGAGAGGAGGTGAAAACAGAACCAGATGAATTCATAGACTGCTGACTTCCCCGCAGACGCCGTCGAGAGTCCATGGAATGAAGGGACTAGTGAAGAAGCAGAGAAGTCACAATTTGAACTGCGGAACCGGAATTCATATGGACCCAAGATGTTTCAGTACAAGCAAACACACAAAGTATAGAGATTAATTCTACTACTCATCGTTCCCTCTATGTTGTCACTCAGCTACTTATTTCAAACACAAAACTTTATCCATTAATTCATTACATAGTAGCCCTCACCTGCGGACTCAATGACGAAGACTGCCTCTGTTGACCCTTGTGGGTTGTGGGTACGGCGGGATTTACTACAGGAAGTGGTTTTCTCATCTTCAATGTCGATGATGGTGCTGAAGTTCGAGGTTCGTCTGATCTTAGAACACCGTCCGCTGCCACGAAAATGGTATCAGCAACAGGAGTAGTGGCGCCGGTCTCCATCACTTTCGATTTCCTGTTTTGTTGTTTTTGTTCCCCTTTGTTAGCCTCCTCGTCATCGGAGTGTCGGACCTCCCACACCGCTGGAGGCTGACCCATCGGCTTTGTGGGCAACATATCGGCAGCTGAAAGGAAACCCAATAAAGGAGTGAAGGATGGGTCACCTCCCTCCCAAATAAATTGACGTCTATGGAGCATGCAATTGGTGGAAAATGAGCAGCTTACTTTAGTAAAATTGGAAAAGATACTTAATTGAGGAGAGACATGCCACTACAGTCGGTATTCACGAAGGCAGTAGCATAATAGATTAGTTTACAAGTTTTTTTATGTTAATGCCAAGAAAATGAACCAAATGAAGGAAGACCTCAGCAAATTTTTCACGTCTCACTTTATTATCGATGCGTGCGAGGCTTTTGCCTGGGATTTCCAACAAAGTAGAAAAGTTGAACCATGTCCTCAAAAGTAACGACATCCTCTGATCGATCCAAAGGGCCCCAAAAAACGACCGCTTAAATGCCTTGCGGACACTATTAGGACCAGCAATAATACACTTGGGCCGACCTATCTCATGCAAACCGGAGAACGAAAAGGGAGAGAGGCTACGAGTCTGCATCATCCACCTCCATTCATTTGCGAGCCATTCCCCATGAATACGTTCTCTAGATATCATCAGTATAATCAATGTCCAGTGCTAAGAAGATGCATCACATGCAAGCGGAGGGATCAAGTGAGAATACCGCCGACACATGCTACGCATGACTGTGAGCATCTACCCGTGTCCCTGTCTGAGTGACCTGTTCGTTCAACACTGTCACTTTCACATCTGTCATCGCTGTGGAGTCTGAATTGCCAGATGCCAATGGATGGCTGGTATTTCTTTCGATTCGGCAACATATCTGTTGCTGAAAATTGTGCACAAACACATATGAAGCAAAGCTACTGAATACGGATTTCAGTAGGTTGTCGCACGTCTGCAGACCAATTGAACGAGATGTAAAGAAAATTGCTTGGTAAGAAAACATCAAGTATAAGATGTTGGAGACAGTAAAGAATCATGTTATGGAGCGCATAATCTGATCTGAAGCTTATGAGGATGAGAAAATACGCAAGTCACTCACTGAGGGGAGGAGGAGTGTCCAGATTGGTGCGACGCAGCTCCTCCAAACAATCCTTTAATGAGTCGATAACATCATCGTCGTCAAAACCGAAATCTCGGACAATTTCGTCCTGTAGGAAGGTAAAAATCTGCATCTGGTCCATCCGCAGTAGGCGCTCTGTACACAGGAGAGGTAAAAGAAAGAAACCAATGATAACCAGGTATTAGGGCAGTCATTTTATTTCCGATGAGGAAATAGCAAACAGCGGTATGGTAGTGTAATTAACGAAGGCCTACTACTTCAAAACCACCTAAGTATATAAACATTTCAATTAATGATGTGATTGCAGAACTGTTGCAAAAAGTGGATGTGCTTGTGACCTGGAGACATCTTGTCGTTTTCACGAAGAGTATCGTCCACAAATACTTTTTTCAGTGTACACCGCTAGTCTTGACCACGCCTGAACTAAGTAGGTGCAGTAACGACTAAAATCTGTGTCGAGATGTATTTCAACGCAAATAATATTAGAAAAAAACCTGGTGGGAGTTTGTAATATTGTCGTTTTTATTGCACTCACGTTTGTGCATCTTTAGGATGTTATAGGCCATAGCCACCATGGCTTTTTCGCCCTCCAGCAAGTAGATATCCCATATGCGCAGGGTCAGGGAGATGGGAAGCTGAAGTTAAAAAAAATTAAAGAAATACATATTCGTGAAGGAGTTGCCAGAGTCACACATAGTGCAGAAGGAATACGAAGACGTGGTGTGCCACAGAAACCAGGCGCAAGAAGAGCCACCTATCATCCAAAAGGTAACAGTGAAGACAGTCAATAACCTCTCAGTTACGCTGGGTCATGGTCCAGTGAAGAGGCAGTAAGAAACAAGACACTATAAAAAAAACAAATGTTTGAACAGTAACAATAAGCGCGTGGAGAAGTAGGAAGAGGTGCTCTACGGCCGCCTTCTTGTCAAACACTCTACGATCACCTTTAAAAAGGAGACGAAAAGGCGTGGTGAAATGGAGTCCTTCCTTTAGGTGGCTTTAATTTGTGCATAGAAGAAGGGGTGGTGAATTGACCAACTGAACAGATCCCTTTTAATCATCCGAGTTAAGTGTGATGGATCGTTGGCGGTGTTGAGTGCCTTGCCACCAAGAAGATGCGTCATAAACTTGGTTTTCCGCCATGTTTACGGCGGCACTTGAAACCGCTTCACTAGGGTGTGAGCTCCACGTCAAAAGTGAATTAAAGCTATGGAGGGAAGTTTATGGCCATAGCAAAGTTTCTTCAAGCCATGTCCACATCAAGTTATTCTCGTTCTTATAAGAACACCACTAACGAGAGGTGAAGGACTGTAAATGAAAAGTGTAATTCTAATAAACTCAAAGTAATGACGCCTAAGTAGACTTCTGAGCACAATCAAAACAGCGAACTAGACAAAAAATACAGACCATTTTGCTTGGGTTAAAGGAGTAAAATACCTTTTCGTATTTAAAATAGTGCAGAAGAACGTTTACCAGATCTGACTTCGACAGCCGCAATTTTAACATTTCAGAGGACGAAACCGACGAAAGCGAAGCGAACAACTCACCCGTCCAAGGAAGCACTGCATGTACCACTTGAGGGCGTAGGTGCAGCAGTCAACGTGCTCACGACGGAAGTGCTTAAATACCTTGCGAAGGTGAGTCCGCAGCACGCGATCGTGATGCGTGAAGTAGCGTCGCAGGCCTGGAAAGTCACGCACAAAGAGGCAGTGCATCTTATGGTGCGGTCCGTCCAATAACTGCGCCAGCGCCCAAAACGCCTCCTCTTCATCCATGATGTAGATTAGGAGCATGCCCGCTATGTCACTCATCCCCTAGAGACCGAGGTGAGCAACAAAAAGACACAGAACTGTTGATTTCGATTTCCAAAAGCGTAAAAGGCCATCAAAGAACCCACAGCTAGGAAGACTATCACGGTACTGAATTAAGCCTCATGAACCGTAAAAAAGTAAAAGGTAAGCCTAATTTTGGGTACAAAATGTTCAATGATCGAAAAAGGACGTCGAGAGGAGACGTCAAGCCAACATTTCACTCCATTAAGTAGGTCAACTTGAATCCTAGAATAGTATGGGACATTTATTGCGCCTTCCAAACTTCAATTGGTACCATTGACAAGTCCTAAACTAAAGCAGAAAAGCACGTCGGGTTAAACCCTACCGATGCCAAACCAAGTGATGACGAAACAGCCTTCACCCTCATCTGCCCTAAAGTGTGGATTTGCGTGTCAGAGCATCGCTGTTATCCGTGCCACTTCTCCCTCTAAGGCCTAACCATCACATCGTAAAGTACCAGTTAAACATCTTGGAGATAATTTGAGGTTAACTGCATGGCATGACTTTGAAAGTTGCGAAAACTTTTGTAAAGTGTATCATATCGAAGGGTTTTGCCTATAGATGGTGCGAGATCCATTCGGAAAGACTCTCAACTGTTGATAGTAAGGAGTCATGACGTGTTAGTGACATCCGAATTGAACTGCCAAGGTGAGACAGGAATCGAGTAAATGCATTCAAGTCGTGCGCCTAAACCGAGGACAATGTGCTCCCCTCCCCATTGTTAAGTGAACGAAAATGTCACTGTTGTCGCCACATCTAACTCCCCAAGACTGTGTCTACCTTGAATGGGGAAGGCTGCAGTTGATACCATCAACATGAAGAAGGCCAAACATTTCCATCAAGATAAAGCTAGCTGACATGGAACAGCCCGAACATGTATGACAACCGGCTGGTAGTCGTGAGAAGAGCTTTGCTTTGAAATAGGAGAGGAGAGAAAACTATTGTTTCATCCAGACATCATTTGGTCGTAAAAACAGAAATAAGCAAGAATCAAAATGTCAAGGAATGGATTGTTTGACTGATAATAATCGATCTGTGGCAGATCAGTCAAAGGTTTGAGCAAGAAGTGACCACATTGATGCAACTTGATAAGTCTTATTAAAAATGAATCGCATAAGGTGGAGGAACGATGTGCAAAGTCAAGCCAAATCACTTCGATGGCAAAGTTCAAGGTATTGCATCACCTCTTCCAGTTTGCACACTACATGATGGGTGTGTGTAAAAGACGATCTCCAGTCACGTGAGATAAAAGTGGATTCCATGTGATTGTCAAGGGAGACTCCACATTCTTTATCAACCATCCTTCACGGTGATGATATGAAAACTTGCTATCACTCCCCCTATATGTGTGCAGATATTAAAGCCATTCTTTTTCCCTTGTACGTTGTAACCTCATTGGCATACCAGCGACGATAGTTATATGATTTTACTACTTACAAAGAAACAGTAGACTTTGGTGCCGCTTTAAAGAAGGCAGGAAGGTATTGCCTACGAATGGGTTAACCCAGAGTCCGTCAAAGCTACTTGAACTTTTGGTAGCTGCTTTGATTCTAGGCCATGCAATACTACCCATAAATATAGCTTAATCTTCGGACCAGAGGAAAGCGATTGATAAATGGCAATTCTAAGACTGACCTGACAGTAGCCAACCTCCGTGTTATACATCGAGTAGGCGGCTAGGATACGAAAAAGGACCTGCTGACGCGGTCCAAAGGCCTCATTAAAGAATGTGGTGGAGCGGAAGGTGCGGTTGATGTCTAAATCTATCTGCTCGATGTAGGTTGATGAAGCGAAGGCATACTTCCGCATATCCTGTAACGCATAGGAAAAACAGAGTATTCATTACACCACTTACTTAAGTCCACAAGCATTTTTATGCACAAAGGGAAGCATACGAAATAAAATGACTAAAGGCTATCTTGCGTGTTAATGAAATCGACTCGCATGCGCTCAACTTAGTTGAATGTGAATAGATTGCCTGAATGAGGTTTCGTTTGGAATCACCCTTTAGAGAACGGGTCAATGGGACGCAGCCTTCTGCAAATGTAAGAACATATTACAGCGTCAAAAGCACCTGCGAAGTTGCAATCAGCGTAGGATTGAAATGAAGCGTTCCGGGGGATCTAAAATAGTCACCTCATATATCCTTCCTCAAGAGTCAGATCATGTGAAATGCTTTCTTGGATTCACTTGAAATACACCCGTTTAGACAGACTAGACTGCTTCTGCTAGTCTGGTGTCAGCTATCTTACGATTCACTTCCACCTTTCAGCACTTTTTCATGAAGAATGTGAAATTTTGGTGTGCCATAGGAATGCAACAAAATCTTTGGTTTCGAGGAGTAAATCGTCGATATCCTAAAGTGAGCCGGGGATTAGTTACAAAATAGCTGCCATGGTCCCAGGTCTACCCCTTGGAAAGATTGCTCAAAAGACACAAGCACGATGAAACGAGATCAGACGATCAAGACGCCACTTAATTAAAAATGAAATTCAGCTCTTTGGTGGCTGAGTAGGGCACACTTGGAAGAAGCTTTCAGTAAGTCCTACAAGGGCCCTAAAGTTGGTAAACAAGCAAGATGTAAGGATGGCACGAGGGTAAATATTCAAGCTCAAAGGGCACAAAGGTGTGGCGATAGAATTGGCTTGATAAAGAGTACCCCAGGAACTCAGCCAATGAGCAAAGATTAAGGTTCATAATTCTGGAAGCAAACCAGAATTAATGAGTTAGGAGCTTCACGCAGTCAGGATGAAAGCGTCTTAGAGACATGAGACAGCAAGGACTTAGTCTCCACATGGCATTCAACCAGAACTAACAATTCTCCAGTGGTTGGAGTGACTCAACGTAGTTGATCTGCAATCGAAAACACACCAATTAAGCAGAGACTAGGAAGTGGGTACGATGCCTCGATTGCGTTATCTACACGACAAAAAATTTCTCACTTTCCTGCCCCTCATTGAAAGGAAGCCCAAGAATTCGGGAGACTTGCAACCTTACTGTTCAGCCCAGCACAGCAAGAGTAATGCTGTCTGAAAAGAAGACAGAGGGTAAGCTGGTCTGCCAATTCGCAGGGTTCCGGTGAGCCAAGGTGACCTAACTCCACAGTTGTTGCTATGACGATGCTCTTCCAGAAAGTGGAGAGGGAGGGAGAGAGAGGGAGTTTGTTTGGCTGCTTCAAGATTAAAAAATTACGTACGAATGGTGCACTGCAAATGAATCAAAGTAAAATTTGCTCCGATGCATATAAAGAAATGGGTCTTGAGAGCCTTTGTGAAACGTCTTAAAATGACGAATCGCATGCGAAGTTCGCTTTCACACAATTTGTAAACGCTTGAAAAAAAAAGTGGATTGAAGTAATACAATCAAAATGATAGGACGAAAAACGAGTTGATAAAATAATTATATCCGCCAAAGGATCCAGGTTCACGTTTCGATCGGTTACGCAAATTTAGCATTTTAGTTAGGACTTAAAAATTTGGAGAGTTGCACTGACTGCTTATAAGTAACTTCTAGACAGCCCATAAAATGAAGAAAACAACAACAGTGGGCATTATTTCAGCAGCAAATGAAACTTTTAGGGGATTACAGAATTGTCCTTTAGCAGTTTTGGAATGCACTTTGCTGCATGCGCAAAGCAATTCAACAGGCGATCATTATGCTGCCGTATGAGACAATTCGTCAAAGGATTCCAAAATGGTCCCTATGCCATCGGACGGTGTACAAATTTCGTGATTACTGTGGATAGAACGTTTGAGAGATGAATATTGATGCCAATATTTGTGCGATGGAAAATAAGTGAAAAAATGTACAAATGGCATCATCGCGAGGAAGAACCTCTTCACCTCTGCTCTCAGATACAGATGTTGACTATACATGAATTCTGATACAACCGAAATAAAGTTGTAGGAGAGGCGTAATAGAAGAGCTTTCTCCAATGCCCCTCGTCTGAGTTCCGCCTACCCCTTTGCGTCACATTAGCCGAAGTAAGTCGATTTCACAGAGGAAGCTTCTTCTCTAAGACTATTAAGGGTCTGAGAATGCGTTTCTTACAAGACTTTCTCTAATATTAACCAACCGCAGTTAAACGATGCGTCCACATCGTAAGATTTGCCTACCAGGAAGCTAGAACAGATCAAAATCGGCATTTACTACTACATGATCTCTGAAAATGCGAAGCAAATTTAATTGGAGAAACAAGATTCAAGACTTCAAAGTGATCAGAGCGTAAGTCTTGAGTTAAGAGTGATAATGAAATAGATGCCTTATCGGCAATGTCTTTACCAATCAAACCGCAAACTCAATGCTGATTGGACATTAGCAACTACGCCTCCGAATTTCATTGGTTGATTTAATCGATTTTTGCGTAAATTTAATCATTAAGTCTTTGACAGTTACCATGCGAATACAGGTTCAAAGGCATAATTATTGCCGCATTCAAGGGAGGGACTAAAATAACGAGCACAAATTCCAAGCATGAACTAAACGAGTGAGCTTTCGCCAGAGAGATTTCCAAATAGGAAATAAAGGCTTATTAGACCCAAATTATCGGGGAAAATGAAAGCGGCAGATCGTCTCTTTTCAACTCTAAGTGTAGGACAGATGCCTTGAAAAGAAGACCTGAATTCGTACCACCCATATGTGCATTACAGCATGGAAACAACAAGGTTGCATTTAGCAGCAAATGTACAGGGGAAGCCAAACCGCAAAAAAGAAAGCATTCTGGCCGAAACAGTAGGTATGCATATGAGCTTAAAAAGCATAAGTGCACACACCTGTGCTGTGAAGGCAAGGAGAGGAAGTTATACAGCTCCTGGAAATGAGATTCGAGGGCAACCTTTTAACCAAACACGAGACCACGAGAAGTAAGAAGTGTGGTAAGAATTTTGAACGAAAGCATACAGTGCAGAACAAAAAATTGAGGCCATCCCTACGTATGCTCAAATGATCTAATTTCTGACTCACAACTTGGAAGGAGATTGAGAGCAACGGGCAGGTGATCACCAAATCGTATGAACGATGCAATAACATTGGAAGCCACGATGTGCACTACCGTCGTACCTTCTTGGATTTGGAAGTATTCACTGAGGTCTAAACTCTATTTTGAAGGCCACTGAAAAGGTAATTGAACTAAAAAAGCCATCACTTTGTATAAGAAAAAAAATGCATTAAGATTCCAATTCGACAGCGTTTCCAATTTCAAACTGATTTCTGAGACACGAACGAAGAAGATTCCCTGAAGAATCAGCATTTGCTTAGCCTACTTAAAAGGCAAAATTTGTAAAAGGAAGGAGAATTAACCGCTAAGACGCTAAAAGGTCAAGTAAACCATGGGAAAAAGGAGATGGCACAATTTTTCTTGGTGGAATTTGGCACCATAAACGTAAAGTTGTCAAAAGAACAACTAACCCTCGAAAAGTCTCATCATAAACATTTTCAAAATAAGATAAAAAGGAGAGGAAAATAACCCTAAAAATGGTTAGAGGATAGAAGTTTGGGGCACCCAACCCCAAGTACGGGAAAGAGGGGTTATGAGGCAAAAAAAGGACCTGGCACCACGCAACATGCGTATTTTGGCATCGAAGCTACAAGTTCGCCACCATCACAGTCCAAAACAAGCCAGCAAATAAGACACTTCTCTCCCCTCCAAGAAAACGGGCGTTTTCACGGAAGGATACGAGAAAAAAACGGCAAAGACAAAATTTTGACATAACGTTAACACATGAAAAGGAGGGCATCAAAAGCAATCCATGGGACCAAAGTGCATGGTTCATCACCTCTCTTATGGAAAGGTCGTGAAAAGTAGAAGCAGGTCATTCGAGTTTACGGCATAACCGATCATAAAAAACCGGCTTATGGAGAGGAGGTGGATGCCATGCTTTGACAGGCCCTTAGAATAGAGTAAGACAGAGATAAGAATATTATTTTAGCAAAATAGTTCTACGACCTTGAAAGGGGGTTGACCTTTTTAACGACAAATTTAAGAAGCAGGAGAATTCTCATTTAAATGCTAATGCTGCATTGCCATGGTAGCCAGGTTTGCGTCTCAAAAGAAGGGAGACATAACTCCAAAAACAATAAAGCAAAAGTAATTAAAAGTCATCAAATTAAGGGTAGGCTTATTTCTAGAATGAGTGAAAGTCATCAAATACTTTGAAGCAAAATGCGCATTATAAGGTTTGACAAAGTTACTTCTTCTCTGTTCTTGAAAGATTCAAAACTGAAGTTAACTGAAGCCTGCCCTAGCAAAGCACGTTTACTTCAAACGAGTAGAATGGCGGTAAGATGTTGGCAATCAGAAGATAAATGCATTTCCTTTTGTCTTTCAATAGGCATGGTTTGAGGGAGATTTATCAAAAGGAGTTTTCTCGAAGACTCTGACAGGATTGTGCGCAATCCATGGCCCTTCAAATTTGTAGACCTTAGGCTAGTTGAATTTCACCGTTGATGAATAAAAAGTACAAAACCAAAATCCATAGAAAAAGGTGTGATAAAACGACTTAACATTCGTTATTTGATGTTGGTAAGTTACTAATATAATATTTAGAGTTATGTGAAGCATTTCCTAGGCTTTCAGTTTCAATGGCTTTCTGACTTCATAGTATGGCAAAATCATATACTGTATAGCCAATTCAAAAGGCTACGTGCTGATTGGCTCAAAAATAGCCAATCAGCTATGAGTAAAGCCTGTCGCAGATGTTATTTTAGCCAAACCCGTTACTTTCCGTTGAGGATTGCCTTACCAGATCCAAAGTAGTACATGTGTAAATAGCTCAATCGCGTTTAGAATGCATCACAAGGGTTGTTATGCAGAAGTTTAGAAAAGACTGGCCGCATATGAGCGAACGAACGAGAACTGCGCAACTTTACGTGTGTGCACAGCGCCGCAGGCGTCCACCTTACGACCATGCGAAAAGGAGAAAAAATATCCAAAACTTGTGTGTAAAAACACTGTCCCAGTTTCCACTGTTCTACAATTCTATTTTTCTAACACGGCACCAGCCGTCAAGCACTAGAGGCCTAATTACGGTTGGACCGAGCGAATCTGGTGATGTATACATGCCACAAAGTTGTGTCACTAAGTTCAGGCAAGCAAAAGGTCAGTGGTATATTTGTGTAGCATTGTCAGTGAGTACGCAAAACCAATTGCATTACACAATGGGCGAAAGGCTGAGCAATTAACTTATTTTTTAAAAATTAGTACAGCATGAAATTCACGTAGCTAAAATGTGGAGAAAAAATGATACGAGAAAATTTGATGGGTTCACTACCGACTGATCAGAACAAAGGCAAGTAATGTGCTTGATTGGTAACTGCGAAAATCCTCCAATTTTTTTAGGAGAATGGGAGGAGAAGCTATTCCCTTTTTATTCCGAAAAAGGCACAACTAACGCAGTCTGCAGTCTAAAGTACGAACCGCTAGGTTTAATGTAATTTTGAGTACCCGATTCAAAACCATTAAAAAATTAACGCTTTTCGTGTCTTTGAATCGAGTTTAAGTGTTGGGGTGAATGGAACTCTGCGCCTTTTCCTCCATTTCATCGCCAACATTGTTTACGGCAGCAAAGTTGTCTACAAGGGAAGTGAATGCATTTCTGCATGGAAACCATTGAGACATGTCATGTAAGGAAACATCCGAGTGACGAACTTGGAAGAGGACGAATTTTGAGGAAGTAACTATGGCCATCATTTCTTTTCTCCTCCGAAAAGGGATGCAATTTGTAATGACAAAATGCAAAACCAAATTACCTTTGCAACGACATTAATAAAGTCCGCATCAAGACACGGGAGACGTTTTTCAACTCTGGATTGGGGAAGAAGTTGTCAAAGGCTCTGCCCCACCTTGAGAAGCATGTAGTTCTCCAAAGTCTAAGGGACAGGAGTCATAGCTCATTCTAAAAGCATGCAATAGTCCCAAGTCCATAGCAAATTGATGACTGCCACTTACAAAGAAGGAGTGCTTGTCGTGAATGCATACAATCTTTAACCTCGTTGTTTTGTTGAAGCTAGCGACAATTACACTGGTTTGTTAATTACGAAATTCGGAAATGGAAGAAGCGTTTGAAGACGATGAACCGCCCTAAGGGGGATTCACGCGAATGGATGTGGAGCATGGAATGGCAAAACATTGTAGTTGGATGTTTGACAGGATCTGTCACAACGCCTACCAACGTACCCACTAGGTGAGGAGCAGCATACCACGTTTTCTGCTTAAGGGAGGGAAATGGAAGTCCACAAAGGCCAAAGGCACCCCAAATTCAAAGGGAAACTCGAGACAGAGGAGTGAGCGAATTTGTCCATCAAGCCGCCACTGCTTGATTTCACTCACTTTATTTCCCATCAATGGAGTACTTTGGCCAGTGATATAATTCTCCCGACTCCTAGTTTTAGTAGGCATAAAATGGGAGTTGACACACGCCGCGTCCCTCTAAGAGTGGCGGTACAGAGCACAGGAGCAATTCCATGATGCACACTATGCGTGTCATGTGTATCGGAAAGAGAACTCTGGTGCACTGGTTGGACGGAGTGGTGGGATAGCGGCCCCGTGATGGGACTGAATGCCGTTATTGAGGCAAGAAGGGTCCACACAAAGTGAACTTGATAAAAAAAATGCGTCTCGCCTCCAAAATTCCAGACACGGCACCCGTGTGACAAGAGAAGGAGTAAGAATGCAAAAGAGAAGAGACCTACCAAAACATCAACACGAAAGCTCCTTTCGTTTTGAGATCGTTTTGTTCATGCCCAAATATGCTAGCTTGTGAAGTAATTTTCCATTAGAAAACGAGACTATAAGGTGATACAAATTCCAGTTGACTATTCGACTGCGTTGACTCACGATTGTGTCTCAACAGGGCTAGACAATGGTGGGTAAAACATTCCGAGCTCTACAATTAACCAAAAATTGGGCTTCTAGATCCGAAAGAGGGGAGGTGATTCAGGGCAAGAGAAAGGGAAAGAGGGACGGGTTGGAGGAGAGAGGAACAGGTCTGTCTTGACATTGATCAACGGGCGCCACAAATGAGCCAATCCGTTCCATACACACACACACACGCTACGGAAACCGTCACATCCTTCTTCGACTAATAATGACACTTACGGTGTAAAACGAGATTAAATGATGTCCTCTCACATTCACACAACTCTCATACGCCAGCCAGGCGGTCACGTGAACGTTGTGCTAAATATGGCACGAGGTAGTGTAAACAAAAAGGAGTCTCTGCACTGCCATCACCAAGACTGAGGGGAATCACCAGGAGAGGGAAAACAAATTTTTAGTTTTCTTTTAGTTTTAAAAATCCTAACCCATCCTAAAGGTATTGTTGTGGAAGGGAGTTTACCTAACGAAAAAAAAATGCATGTGGACGAAGGAGAGAAGATGCGTATAAATCCACCTCAAAATTTCAACCGATTAAAAAGCATGGAAATTTCGAGTTTTCCTTTTTTTTTTTTTTTATTACTTGTACAAGGTAATTGTGAGTTCAGCCGGCCTTGACGTAAAAAAGTGAGTAAGCCCCCTCTAATGGGAAAATAAACTGCTTGTGAATCTTTTTTGTACAGCACCTCACCCAACCTCCGTTCGTAATTTAGCACCATTCAAGGTAAAGGCAAACGAACATGGCGGGGCAAAAAAAATGCAGAAAGACATATTTCAGCGTTTGTAAAATAGAGTTACTGGTCTGTCGCATTTGCAACACTTCACGAAGTAATTAAATTTTCAACGCTTTAGATGTAAGACAACTTAGGACTCAGGT